CATCCATCCATCCATCCATTTTATTCCAGGAAATCTATTAGTTTTTGCTCCGGTAGCTCTATTATGCCAGGTGTCCTTCCTTCACTGGTGCCCCCCAGATGTCTTGGGCTGCAGACGATGGGAATTCAAGACCAGCACATCTGGTAGTCTCCAGAATATCTGTAATTTCATCTTACTTTGCCCGTTTTCTAAGAAATGCCCCTCAGTTAGCTCTGCAGAGTCAGCCCCCCTTTGACCTTTCTGTTTTGAGCAGGACCATCGCTTTAGGCTTGGGGGGGTCATTGAAAGTGGAAAAGGCTGCCAGTGCCAGGCTGGTTTTTCTCTTTTGCTCCATATTTCTGCAGCAGAGGAAGAGAGAAATGTCAGAGCTTGGTGGAATCTCATTTCCTTTGGCCAGTAGCTACCGGCCAATCCTGGGTTTGTATATGTCCCCATCTGGTAGATTCTATGAGCTTTGAAGATGTTGGGCTTTCAAAGGGTTTTTGATGTTGGGGTTTTTCCTCCTCTGCCTGTAACCTGCTTCTTGGAAGGAAGGGCACGTGGCAACAGAACGAAGCGTCAGGAAAGCGGCTGAACCTTTTGCAGCACCCAGAGTAACTGGCCTTCATCTGCTTTATCCCCAGCTTGGTGCTGGCTAGAAATTCTGGAATCCCAAGATTCTTGAAAAGCAGCAGCCCCCCAGGGAAGGCTGGATTATTTACCTCGCTCTGCTGGTGGTTGATGGTTTTTCCCCTCCTGTGTTTGACTTCCCTTTCATGGTTTCCTGTCTTTTGGGACTTGGAGTCCTGCCGTGGCTGGTCGAGCGTGGGCCGGATGTGGGCTCTTTTCTCCAGTGCCGCAGGCCCGGCTGCCCACCAAGTGGGTGTTTCCATGGCTGTAGATGGCAGGACAGCTGGGAAGCTCCTGGACCAGCTGTTGCATTGGCTCAAAGACTGCTTCTGCTGATTTTAATGCCATTGCATCCAAGGAAATAAATTTGCCAACTTGGGAAGCAAAGCTGGTGCGGCACTGACTATCGCTCCCACCCGAGAGCAGGAGCCAAACACGGCATTTCTCCAGCTAAATTAGCACTGAGTTAGTAAGCGGATGGGAGACCACTAGGAAATCCAGGGTCAGGTGGCACCAAACTCAAATTACAGGTAGTCCTCGTTTAGTGACTGTCTCATTTAGCAACCATTATGACAGGGATGAAAAAGTAACTTGGTGACCAATTCTCGCATTTATGACCTTCGCAGGTCGGTAAAGCAAAGGAAAGCTGAAGTAAGATCATAAGCACAGTTATGGTTTCACTTAGTGACCGCTTCGCTTAACGATTGAGTCTCCAGTCCCCATTGTGGTGGCTGAACAAGGTCTACCTGTAAATAATTACAAAGGAATGGATAAGAAATCCCAAAGCTGTAGGCTAGACTGGGAAACCAGAAAAAAAAAAGGCAGAAGAACGTAGTGGCAGACGTAGTGTTGCTAAGAAAGCTACGTTAAATAAAATGTTAACCCGCCATGGCTTTTTATTGAGTCAGCCTGTCCATTTAGCCCCAGTTTGCCTGCACTGACCGGCAGCAATTTCTAGATTTGGAGTCTCTTACAGCCCTGCCTGGGGATGCTGAAAATTAAACCTCGGATCTTCTGCAAAGAAAAGAGGGTCTTTTTCCGGGTTTGCCACCCCGGATGTTTTCATTCCTCATCAGAGGGGGCTGAGAATGGATCTCATCCGTCCTTTCGCTCCTCTCTGCATGGCAGGCTTCGCAGGCCAGAACTGCGAAGAGAACCTAGACGATTGTCCGGGACACAGCTGCAAGAACGGAGGGACCTGCGTGGACGGGGTGAACACCTACAACTGTCAGTGCCCTCCTGAATGGACAGGTGAGGGTGCTCGGATGGGGCAGTTGGGGGGCCCCAAAGCCTGACTTTGCCCAGGTGGACACAGGTCTCCCAGACACCGCTTTATGTCTTCGGACCAGCCTTCCCTAACCCGCCTTTCCCTCAGTGTCTTGGACTACACTTCCCAAGGCCAGTGGCCCATCTGGCACCAGTGCTGATGTCGGGCTTGAAATGCCTCGAAATAGTGGTGAATTTGGGGAAATGCTGAAGTTTGGCTTGAGCTGAACTTGAAATCCAACCCTCCAGCTTGCTTTCTTTTTTACCATAATTTGTGGTTTCTAAAATTAGGATTTCTGAAACCAAGACAGCTCCCATTTGGGGGCTTCATTCTAATTCATTAGCCCCTTCCCCATCCGTAATTCTCTCCTCCTCTAATATCCCCATTTTACAAAGAAATAAAGTGCTTGGGAGAGTTGGGGAGACTTTTCTGGAAACATCGGGTTATTGTGGAAGATTCTTCAGATCTTGCATCACTGACCTGAAGGCCCGTGTCACCTGGTGGTGTGTTCCAGGCATACATAATAAAAACGCAGGGTTTGGTTGCAGTTGTATATGTGCTAAAGGACAAGCAAGCTTAATACTCAGCCAACAGACTTCATTATATTTTTGAACCTAAATATAGCATTTCCTGCCGTTCTCCTGGGAATACCATAGAGACTTTGATTGGCACCGATTCTGAGTCTTCCACCCCAGCAGCAACTTGAACAACCCCATTCTTACTCTTCTAGGCCAGTATTGTGCTGAAGACGTGGATGAATGTCAGTTGATTCCCAATGCTTGCCAGAATGGTGGCACCTGCCACAACACCCATGGTGGCTACAACTGCGTCTGTGTCAATGGTTGGACTGGCGAAGATTGCAGCGAGAACATTGATGATTGTGCCAGCGCGGCTTGCTTCATGGGGGCCACTTGCCACGACCGGGTGGCCTCCTTCTATTGCGAATGCCCACACGGGCGGACAGGTGCGTATTCAAGGGAGAGGGTGGGTGTAGCAGGATGGGAAAAGTAGCAACAGGGAAAGCAGGAACCACCTAACAGGAGTCTGACTGCACAGCAAAAAGAATTTCATCTCCTTCTGCTAGAAGTTTGGTGGGTTGGTCGTTAGTTTCTTTTTAAGCTGTGAAGGCATGTGAGAACAGATGCCTTAATTCTCAGCAGGACAATCCTGCAGTTTTCCCTGGGACAGTGCAGCTGTGTCACTTTTCTGCATATTGTGTAGCCTTCCCCTACCTGCTTCCCTCTGGAGGCACTGGGATTACAGGAACGTGCCAGGAATTCTGGGAGTTGCAGTCCCAACACATTTGGAAGAGGCCTGGCTGGGGAAGACTATCTAAGAGCAAGAGGTGGATGGTCCCTGCGTTCTCGGAGGTTTCCAGATGTTGCTGTTGGTCATTTGGGGCATTTTCAGTGCACCACAGGCCAGGCACCCTGTGGCTGTGTTCCCCTAACCCACTTAAACCAGGTCTGTTGAAGACCTGAGCGACTGCATTCTCCCGCCATGCTAATTTAGTTAGCGCTTAAAATATTGTACTAACTATCCGCTTATTTTACTGGCTTAGCCCGCAATGCAAACCCAGCCCGTCTGGCTAGGATGCGGTTCAGTATAGCACGCAAGCATGCAGTTCAGTAGCCGTTGTAGCAGTGTGGCCACTGACTGTCTGCTGGTCAGCCTGTGGGCCGTCGGAGGAGCGAGAAAGGGAGAGTCCCTTTCTGAGCCCAGCCTCGCCCTCTCTCCAGGGTTGCTCTGCCACCTCAACGACGCCTGCATCAGCAACCCTTGCAACGAAGGGTCCAACTGCGACACCAACCCGGTCACTGGGAGAGCCATCTGCACCTGCCCGTCAGGGTACATGGGGCCTGCCTGCAACCAGGACGTGGACGAATGCTTGCTGGGTAAGGGGTCCACCTCCAGCATCGGGGCTGCTGGCACCGGGTGGGAGTGGTACGCGTGGAGGCTGATGCTGCGAGCCAGTCCTGAGTGGAAGAAAGCTGGGTGAGGAACGGGCAGACAACCGGCCATAGGGCAGGGGCAGGCAGGTCAGCCCTTGGGACGAAATGCAGGGAGACTCGGGGCAAACAAGGAAGGTCTTTGGGCGTGTGAAAAGGTGACCTGTGAAATTCTCTGCCCCTGGATGCGGAGAGTGTCGGTTTGGATTGGGGTCCCCAAACCCTTCCGCTCATCGACCCCTCCATGAAGTTCCAGATTGTTCATCGACCCCCAAACATTTATTATATGAAGATGATTTAATAAACACGACTCTAACAGTACTACAAATAATAAGAATAACATCGACCCCTTGGAGAGTGCCATCGACCCTTGGGGGTCAGTTTGGACCACTTCGGGGAACCCAAAGCAAATGGTGCAGGGCTCTGTAACAGCCTCCCCGAGTCTGTTTTGTTCTCAGAAGCCCCGGCGGGGGGGGGATTACATTTGCCTTATTTGCTGCAGTGTTGTGTTGGTTGGACAAGCTGCTGGGGAGAGGGGTTGCTTTTGGATCGGGGAGGGGATGACTTGAAGAGAAGGGCTCAGACAAGGCCTCCTTGTAGCCCTGACTGGCCCTGTTGGCCAACTGGCACACCGCCTTCTAGGGACGCTGCCTCCCTCGGCCTGACGGGGGACCCTGACTTCTCCCTCCTTTGGTCCGGCAGGTGCCAATCCCTGCGAGCACGCTGGGAAGTGCATCAACACAGAGGGCTCCTTCCAGTGCCAGTGTCAGACAGGCTACTCAGGCCCCCGGTGTGAGATTGATGTGAACGAGTGCTCCTCCAACCCGTGCCAGAATGATGCCACCTGCTTAGACCAGATTGGGGTCTTCCAGTGCATTTGCATGCCAGGTAAGCCTGCCACCCCCCCCTTTCCTTCCGTGCCCCTCGCACAGGCTGCTCTCGAGGCCTTAGGGGTGCGCTGGGTGGAGCAGCGGCTGAGGAGGAAGACCCTGTTTTCCGCTCGTTCAGCGCTTGGCTTGCTTTTGCGATTGCACCAGCTTCCCAAGGTGCCCTCCAATGCAGTCCCCTTGCAACAGTCCGCTGAGGGCCATGTGCCAAGCGTGGGTAGGGCTGAAGCTGTGGTGGGCGAGCCAGGGCCAATAAAAGTCTGGGTCCTCAACCGACTAAGCCCGCATTAACCAAACAGAATTGCTGCATTCCCATATCATGCTGAGCCCAGTCCAGTGGGTCAAGCAACCTCTTAAGACAGTGGTTAGGTTGCCCACCACAGCTCGAACTACAAGCCGCCAACCCCAGCGAACCTAGTGGCTAAGTTCACATGTAACACACGCACGATAAATTAACCAAACAGGCCGGATCTGCAGAACAGCCATAAAAACGCCAACACAGGTAAAACAGCCAGTTTGAGCTTGGTCTGCAAATGAACCTGCCTGTAGGCCTTTAACTGACCCATATAAAGTCAGCCGGAGGGTTGAGAATCTGGTGCTGGGCCCTGTTTTCCCAACTCCTCCTTTCTCCCTTCCCTCTGCCCTTCTTGGGCACCCAGCCAGAGCCTGCTTTCCAAAGGCCTGGATTGATCACTTGTCAAGAGCATTGGAAATTGAGCCGCGGGGCGGGATGGCTGACCACAACTCCGAGGAGTTAAAACTTCATTCGGTGGAGGGCTTCAGCGTGCCCTAAGATTGGCAGAAGGCTGAGGTGCGGTATATTAAAACAGCAAAGCGAGGATGTTGAGGAAGATACCCAAGGAAGAGCGAGGACGCTTAGCTGCAAGTAAAGGTTGCTGCGTTAGGAAATTAGTAGTGAGTGGAAGGGCAGGAAGGTGATGGGGAGTATTGCGAGGCTGGCTGAGGGTAAGGGCGGAGGCCAAGGCTTCGTCGTGGCACCCCTCGGTGTGACAGCAGGGCCTTTCCATGAAGCTGGAGAGCGAGTGGGGACGGGGCGTCGGATGGCGGCCTATTTTGCCCGGTGTGTCTTGACCCAGTTCCAGTGGAAAAAGAGACCGCGGGGTTCCCCGTTCATCTCTGTTTTTCATCCCCGCAGGATACGAGGGCGTTTACTGCGAAATCAACACGGACGAGTGTGCCAGCAGCCCCTGCATGCACGGGAACTGCGTGGACAAGATCAACGAGTTTGCTTGTGTGTGCCCCATGGGTACGTGAGGTGGGGAGGGGGTGTCGGAGAAGACGGATCGATCTTTGCCTTCAGCACAAAATTCTTTGTAGTGCAGACAGAGCTGGAACTAATCCACCGCCCAGAGGCGATGCGAACGCTGGCGGATTTAAGGCTGGCCAAAGCGGGCAGTTGGGGGAAGTGGCCGAGGCTGGGGGGTGGGCTATTCTTGCTTTGGGCAACTCAGAGGAGAACAGGGTGTGCTGAGGAGGGGCTCTTGAAGTTCTGAAAGGTTGCCCCGCCCTCCTTCGAGGGACTATCACGACTATTGTGCATGATTGGGAGAGAAAGCCTCCGTGTCCAGTGGCTGTCTATTCCTGGATACCCATCTGATGGGTGGGGAGAGGGACAGCGGTTGATGATGTGGGGCGTTCCTCTTTAATGAACTTTTTAGAAAGTTCTGCGAGAAACCAAGCAGGTGGAAATGTGGGCATCTTTTGGGGGGGACAAAGAATTGCAAAGACATAGTCACTGCCTCTTACATTCTCTCCGGTTCTTTATCTTTGCTGCATGTTTTCGTGTTTTGGAGTCTCTGGTGTCCCTTGCAGAAGAAGCCTAGGATGAGATTGTGTTGCAGGGAAGGCAAGATCAGAAGGCGAGAGAAGGGGGGCGTTATTGGATTTACACCCCTTTTCTGCCTCCCCAGCCCAGCCCCAAACCGGGTTGGGGAATGGCCAGTGAAGGGGTGGTTGGATCCATGGGTTTAGCAAAGTGGGTTAATAAAGGAAGTTAATAATGTGCGGTAGGCATTGAAAAGGAGGAGCTGTTTTTCTCTGAATTTCTGGAAGCCTGCTTTGTCCCGGCCCCTAGTTTTATTTACTAGGCATAAATGCCACCTTTTCCTTGGAAATCTCACGAGGGTCTGCTTTGGTCTGATCCCCTTGAAGTAGGTTGGGCTAAGAGCTCTGGGGCTTAGGGAGACTCAAACCTACGTCTTCTTAGTCCAGCCCAAGATTATTACCCCTGCACCGTTAAGATTATTACCCCTGCACTCTTAAATCCTCTCTCCCACCTGCAGCGCTGAAGGAATTATAGCCAATGGGCACTTATTCCGATTTACGCTTATTCCTGATGTGCCGTAGGAAATGCCATTCGTCCTGTTTTACACCTCCAGTGCAGTGTCTGCCTGAGACAGACCCATGCTTGAACGCCCCCAGGGTATCCATGGGGCTGGCCTGGTTTGCCCTCCTCTTCGGGCATTCCTGAGCTGAAAATACACCTCCAGCCAAGCCGATGACCGCCACAAGGGAAAGGGGGCCATGTGGATCTTTCTGTAGATCCCATTCGCCAGGTGCCCCACGAACAGCCACGCTGGTTGCCTCTGATGCAGAAGGAGAAGATTCCTTTCTGCCGATAAGTAAAAACGAGCCTTTTGGAAGGCTCACTTCTGCCTCTTCCATTGGGAGAGCAGAGTTTGGGGCTTGGAGAGGGCCCCAGTTTGGGAATAGCTGGACAGGGAGGATGTTGAGGTTGTGGGGTAGAGCAAGAGATCGGGGAGGGGGCGGCTCATCCTTGAAGCGGGCTTTTATGCGGAGGCTTCAGGGGTAGCCGTTGCTCATCCAGACCACGTCCAAAATCGCCACGGCAGTGGGCTGAGAAAAAGCGTGGGACCAAGTGCCAATGACTCGGAAAGTGCACCTTCTGCCTACTACTGCAAGGGAAACGCAGTCACTGCAAAAAGAGTGTGTTTGGTATCTGTGTGTGTGTGTGAGCGTGTGTGTGGGAAAGAGTAATCTTTGCAGCCTCATTTCATCTCCAGGCTGGCTGTGAGGGCAGCGTAATCGAGTGATTGAGAACAGCTTAAGGGCATGAGAAGGATCGGTGCAAGACCAGGCACAAATGGGCTGCTAAGCATGTGGTTTGGTTGTGTGAGCAGACCATCCAGTCCCTCCCTGATGCGGTTGATTCGTTCAGCGTGTTTTGTGAATGCTGGGCCAAGCCAGGCAGCGAGTGTGTTTGCAAAGGGGTAACTGGGCGAGTTTTTGGCAGCAAAATCCACGTTTTGTGGCATCTTAAAGATAAACCGGTGTATTATGACCCAAACCTCCGTGGATCACATTCTCCATCTGAGAAAATGGACGGTGATTAACGATGTTTGTGCAGTTGTCAGCCCCATAGTCCTCTTTGATTTCATTTGGGTCTGTAGCCATGGCTTTATTCCTGTCGTGGAATGAAGTCCCAGGGCCGGGGAAGCCAAGGAGGCCGGTGGAAATAGTGGTCTGCCATTACTACAGTCCAAGGTGGAACTTTAAAAATCGCTAGGAGGAAAGACAACATGGGATGTGGGCAGCACCCCCCCCACCGTCCCATCAGCTGACTTAGATTTCATTTCTCATGATGCTCTTTTGGAGCAAGATGGGAAAGAAATTCTTCTGGTCCTCCAGGTTCTGTGCAGGAAACGGCCATAATTATTGAACACCCAGCCGAAGCCAACTTTTTGTCAGTCTGTCTGAAAGTGCTGGTAGGAAGAGCAGAGGGAAAGGATATTGTATGAACAGGCTCTTGAAAATCCTTCCAGTCACAATTATTTTTTGCTTGTCTGGCTACACACCCTTCTTTGCATGGTTTAAAAGAGGGGGAGGATGCACTTGCACCCCTCCCTCCCCAACACCTTCCATAAAATCAATCTTTTAGGTCATTTTGAGTCCCTTTTTGTTCGCGGAAGGTGTCGGTGTAAAAAATCTGTTTCTGTGTGTTGTTTCAGTCCTGGAGCGTGTGGGGTCATCTGAAACAGAAAAAGTCCCCCACCTTGATTCCAAGGGGTTCTTCCCAGGGGGGCAAGCAGGAGCTGAAGGATCCTGGGCTCACGCGCTCTCCCCGTTTCTTCTCCCCACAGGATTTAATGGTCACCAGTGTCAGTACGACATTGACGAATGTGCCAGCACGCCCTGCAAGAACGGAGCCAAATGTGTGGATGGACAAAACTCTTACACATGTGAATGCACTGAAGGTAAGCGAGGGGGGCAGCTGGCCAGTCTTGTCTACAAGGTCCTGTTGGTGATGTGAACCAACTCCCTTTCTTGATGGTTTTGTGTGACGGGATGCTAAGCCAATGCAGGCTTTTTCATTCGCAAATTTGGTTTCTAACTGCGACCCTCCCTGCTGTCAGGACAGAGGAAGGGTTGCCTCTAAGGCAGTGCCAGAATCAGGGGTCAAGCACATGGCCAAGAAACCAGGATTCTGGCCCAGGTTCTGAACAGACAGCTTTATTGCAAGGAAAAGAAGGTGGTCGGGCTGCGGGGTCTCGGAAACTGGCTTGGAGGGTCCTTCAAAGCAGGCTGTTGCTCTTCCCTTTCTAACTGAGTCTTGGTTTAATTGCTGATATGATGTGGAAAAAAATGTGCATCTGTTCTTGCTGTGGAATATTTTGGAAAATGGTAGTGTGTATGTGTGTATGTATATATGTGTGTGTGTGTATATATATGTTTCTGTGTGTGTGTGTATACACATACATACATGCATACACAAACATAAAAAGTAAGAATGAAGGATCATGATTCTTCTGAATTTCTCCGTTCAAAAGGCACTAAACAGGGACTTCTTTTTGTTAACTGGTGAAGCCTGCAGCGGCTTAAAGCTTGCTGAATATTGGAGAAATCTCTCTCTCTCTCTCTCTCTCTCTCACACACACACACTCACACACACACGCACACACACGCATGCACACTTCCTGGTCTCGCGGGTAGGCACTGAACGCTGGCTGTTTATGGAAGGCAGCTTTTGGCCACGTGGATCATGAACAGCACCAGCATGACGGCCACGCGCTGACCAAAGGGATGAGCGTAGCTCCTGTCCTGGCTGGTGTGATTCTCCCCAGGCAGATTCCCTGCTCCCTCTTTCTACCGGAAATTGTTTTACATACGCGTGTGTTAGGACCACTTAGGACCCCTTTCCTGTCCTAAGTGGCTAATGGCATCTAGGATTCAATGTAAAGTTCAATACCGTCATTAAAATCACCCCAACCAGTGGCCTTAAAAGAAAAGTAGCCCTAAACGAGAAGCCGTTTTAACCTGCTTTGTTTCTCCAGGTGCCCCCAAGTTATTCCATACTGCAGGCCTGGCCCAGGGGGAAAAAGGAAGAAAAAGGAAAAACGAACAGACAGAGTTAGCTGGGTCTGTGAGGAATCCTGCAAAAGTTGAAGCTGGGAGGGGGGCGGCAGAGCGGGGGCGCCCCTGTTTCCTGCCTCCCGAACTGGCGGGACGGGTCACCCCACCATCGCCCTCTTTTCCGGCCGCTCGCCTCTGGGCAGGAGAAGAAGAGGGCTGCCCCCCCGCCCAGAGCCCAGGGCTGGGTGCGCTCAGCAAGGGAAACTCAAGGCGCCCTTGGACAAAACCGAGGCCCGGAGCCCCCACGGCAAACAGAGGGACTTTTGTGGGGCCGGACTGCTGCCAGAGCCGTCTTCCCTAATGAGCGTCTTGGTCGGGCAGCAGCGGCGATGAAAAGCTGCAATGTGGGCTTCCCGGGTGGGGAGGGGTGGGGGCAGTCAAAGGCCCACTTTGTCTGGCTGCCCGCGCCCCCCCGCCGCCCTCCCGCTTTTGTCCGCGGCCTCGGGCTGCGCACCCCCCCGCTGGAGGAGGGCGAGAGAATGGGGCTGCTGTTGTTCCCTTTTGAATTCCCTGGACCGCCTCCCTGAGCCGGATCCAGACAGGCAGGGGCGAGAGCGGCTCCGGCGGGGGGAGGCAGAAGAAAAGCGCTTGTGTTTGAGAGAGGACGACGCTCCCCCCGGACGGAGCCCGGCTCGCTGCTGTTCCCTGCGCGGCAGCCTCTTCGTCCCTCAGCCTGTCTCCTGCCCCACGTTCCCTGCAGCGTCTCGGTAGCCCTGCCATGGGGAGACCCCCGGGCAGTCCAAACCACAAAGGAGCCCCACCAACGCCGTGGCAGCTTCTCAAGCAGCAGCCATGGCTGGCGGGTTTGCTTGGAATCAGGGGTGCCCTCCCAAATGGCTACCCTGGTGGGCTACCTCAGGCTGTCGCTCCAAAGTGGCCGGGTACAAACATGCCCGGTTTCCCTCGCGACCATTTCTTGCTTTCGGGTACCCTGGTTTTGTAGCCAGCCGCCATTCACGCTTTCTGAGATGCCCCAGAGTTCATGGGGGGGGGGGCAGGAACAAGAATGGCACTCTTTTACAGCACACAAGCTCGCCACTTGATTAATATTCTTTTGAATTTAAAGAATTGGGTTTTCTAACGTCAGATTGAGGTCAGGAATCTAGCGAGCTCCCGGCAAGACGTTGGCCCCACGTTAGGGAGGACCGCCTCGATGCAGACCGAGGCCATGTTATTCTCTGGTGAATGAGGACTTGCCCCTTCTTGAATGGCCCACTCAGCCAAGCTCCTTTTCTTTCTCACGGACCCCCATCATTCTGGCTGGGAACTCTGGGAGGTGTAGTCCAACCCCTCGGATAAGGAAGTGCGGTGTTTAGCGGGCGAGCTCATTTCTAGCTGCCGGGTTCCTAACCAGGCTTAAGGACAACCGGCTGGGGGGACCGTCCCCAGAGGCATCTGCTGCCGGCTGAGCGCTAGACTAGGCCAGCCGCTCTTCCCAGCAGCCTGACCGAGGGAAGAAGGATGCCTGGTTGTTCTGTCTTGGCTGCCCCGTGGAACTGGTGCATCTGCTGCCTTTGCTGCTCCGGGCCTCAGCGCGGCTCTTCGGGATCTCCATGCCCTTTTCCTTCTCTCTGTGCCCCAGGCTTTTCCGGCACCCACTGCGAGACTGACATCGACGAATGTAACCCTGATCCCTGCCACTATGGCACGTGCCGGGATGGCATTGCCTCCTTTACCTGCCTCTGTCAGCCTGGGTACACCGGGCATCTCTGTGACATCAACATCAACGAGTGCCAAAGCCAGCCCTGCAAGAATGGGGGCACCTGCCAGGACAGGAACAATGCCTACACCTGCCTCTGCCTCAAAGGGACCACAGGTAAGGAGGGGGCGGGCCTTCTCTCTGGCCTTCCCACAAAAGGCTGGAGCACAGCCATCTTGGTGACCAGTCTGTAGCCACCCACGTATTTCAGGTCGAGGAAAGAAGCCCTGGAGACGTTTGGGCCTGCCCCACCTGGCGTCTCCCAGATATGTTGGGGCTGAAATTGCCAACGTTCTCCCTCTGTCTGGAAGGCACCAACTGGGGCAAGCTGATGGAGGACAGGTCTGGCCTGAACCAGGAGCAGTTGTCTTCCAAGCACGATTCCTCCAGGCTTCTCCTCCACAAGATTTATGGAGATGAATGGGATGGAGTGACAGGAATTTCAGCACCTGAACGATCTCCCTTCTGGAACCAGTCTGTGCCACGCACATCAGAGCAGGCTTCCTGGTTTCCTTTCTAACAGAGAAGAGGCGAGTCTCTTCACTGATCATGGGGAACCTTACAGCTTTTATGTGCTGGTCTCCAGAATTGAACCTGGTCTCACCTTTGTTGGAGACGGTTCCCTTTATCACTGGCAGGACTTGTGGGGAACAGCCCAAACAAATTTTTGTCCTGGCAGGGCAAACTCTGAGTCTTACCCCAGTTGCCGGTTGTTGTGTAAGATTTAAATTTTGCGAAATCTTGTTGACGATGGTTCTGCTGACATCGGGAGCAGCACGGAGTGAAAGTCCTGTTGCTACGTCTGCTAAAAACCTGGTTCGTCATTTGCTTTTCTCTTGCCTCTGTCCCACTCTTGTGGGAGTGACAGTTCCTTCGGCGTTCTAAGGTTTCAGCACACACACCTCCATACCTGGATTTGGACTAGAGAAACTTTCTTAAAACAGTCCTGAGATTTTCCAGAGCCCCACTCTTTGAGAAACGGTTGCATAGACATTAGTCGCCGAGAAGAAATAGGGCGTCATGGTTCCGGGGGAGACATTGAGACAGGAGCCCCCTGAAAGCCAGTCACTCACAAATGCCTTTGGCTTCACACCAGATTCCCACCCCTGGCCCGTTTTGCTAACTGCTGTTTATCTTTCCGAAGGACCCAGTTGTGAAATCAACCTGGACGAATGTGCCAGCAACCCGTGTGATTATGGCAAATGTGTTGACAAGATTAATGGCTACGAATGCACCTGTGAGCCGGGATACACAGGTGAGGGCGGGATGGAGAGCAGTGAGTAGGTGCCCTCCTCCACCTGTGGGCTTTGCGGCACCGGGATCAGGGTGCCACTGGTTCCTCTCCTCTTGTGCAGGGCGGATGTGCAGCATCAACGTGGACGAGTGCGAGAGCAACCCTTGCCACAACGGTGGCACCTGCAGGGATGGCATCAACGGCTTCACCTGCCTCTGCCCGGAAGGCTTCCAGGACCCCTTGTGCCTGTCGGAAGTGAACGAGTGCAACAGCAACCCCTGCGTCCACGGGAAGTGCCACGATGGGCTGAACGGGTGAGTGTCGGGCAAGGCTGCAGCCGTGTGGGAGGGGCACTCGCCAGCGGGGGGGCACTTTTGGGGGGAGATCGCTTGGGCCTCTGGGAAATCTCAGAGTTTATTGTGGGCGCTTCGGGGGAGTGGCGGTGTGCTGAGTGTGAGCGCCTTTCTTTTTCCTTTCTGAGAATGCCTGGGGGGCCAGAGGCCTTTCAATCAAATCAAATCAAACAGGAGTGGGACGGATTGTTTTAGAGCACCCTCAGATTCCCATTGACTCATTTCTTAAAACTTTTATTCTAGTTAAAAATCAGGGTCGGGAGCCAGGCAGCTGCATGGTGCAATACTCACTTCTGTGGGCTGCCCTTGGGAAACCAAGGATTAGGGTGTTGGATTGGGACCAAGGAAATGTGGGTTCAGGTGGGTGCTCAATCGTGGAAGCTCCTGGATGACCTTAACCTGGTCATGCTGTCTTAGCCCAACCTACCTCACTGGGTTGTTGGAAGAGACGGTATGAAGCCTTGGGAGGAAAGATATGACTGAAATCAATAAGTGCCTATTTTTTAAAGATGTACTAATCAGATTTAAACAAAAGAATTTTAACAATTTTAACAAAAGAATAAAGGCATGGAACGCATTTATGCCGTATTGTTCTTTTAATCTCAGAGCTGGAACTTTGGTGGGAATAAAATCCAGAATTTGAGGAGAATAGGCGATAAGGGGGTGGCCAAGCACCTGATTTGCTTGGCCTGCAGAAAGTCCCAAATTCTACCTCCAGCCTCCCCAGGTGAAGGGCCTGCAAAGTCCCTGACGAGACCCTGGAGAACCATCATCCATCATTCTGTGCCACGCTGAGCTGGTTGGACCAAAATTCTGGTCCAGACTGAAATAGCTTCCGAGGTTTCTAGGACGTGGTGGAGTGGTAAACTGCCCAGTAGAAGGGGCACCATCCCACCAGGAGCAACTTCTGGGGTGCCTCTAGGGCATGTAGAAACACCACCCTGGCCACTACCAGTCCACTGATAGCAATGTCCTACTCTGTTTTGTAGCCCTGAGTGCCTCAAGCCCAGTGTTCCCACTGCCACAGGCTCTTTGCTGAATGAGCTGCCCGGGCAGCGTTCGTTGATGGCACGCAGGACTTACCAGTTGGGCCTCTTATTGGGAGCCTCTGTCCTGATGAACATGCACAGAGTGGCCGCCAGAAACGGTCTACAGGGGAGGGAGAATTGAAAGCCATGTTCTTGAGCAGAAATGTATAAGGTGACTGCCATGGGCAAGTTAGACTCTCCACTGGGGTCTGCTGGGTTTTTTTATACATATAAATGTTATTAAAAGTTTCACGAAGAGCATAAAAACTAGCACAAACTAATAAAGAATAAAAGGAGCAAAGAAAGAAGAAATAAAAAGTGCAGGAAGAGAACAGAGAATTGGCCTGGAACACTTCCTCCCATTTATACCCCTTAAACCTCAAAATCTCAATCCAAAGCCATTTTCCAGGCACCCTTCCCCGAGGGACAAGGGAGAAGCGGGGCACCCATCAGTAGGGTGTCCTTCCCAATAACATTAGGTGTGAACTGGCCCTTGCAAGACCTATTTTTGTTCTTCCAGGCCTTTTAAGGAACTGTTTTAGATTCACTAATATTATATGGCTGCTGGACATAATGCAACCTTTGCACGCTGTTCTTACTACTGCTACTCAAACCTACCCCTAGGTTTTTTAAGGACGTTTGTGCGCTGCACAGAGAATAGAGGTGGCCCAGGGGCATCCAAAGGCAAGGATTATTTTTTTAAAAAGCAGCAGAATACAATAAACGTGTGCTTTTTCTCTCTTTCCTGGAATCAAAGCTACAAGTGTGATTGCGACCCAGGCTGGAGTGGGACAAATTGTGACATCAACAACAACGAATGTGAGTCCAACCCTTGTGTGAATGGTGGAACCTGCAAGGACATGACCAGCGGTTACCTTTGCACCTGCCAAGATGGATTCAGTGGTAAGAACCCCAGACCTAACCCTGGTTTCTCCCCTCTAAAAGTGGCTAGGTTTGTCGTCTTTTACATGTTGATCATCAGCTTAGAATAGGTATTCAAGAAAAAGGAAGCCCAAATACTGTAAATAAATCACCATTGACTAAATTGGAAGGTCTTAGTTTAACGCCTTTCCAAGGGAGGGTTGGCTTGGACAGACAATCCATATTTGGGGAGGTGGGCCACTCAAGCCGTTGACCTCAGTCTGGCCCCTCCGGGTTTCTTAGGAAGCCCTCAGAATGTCTGGCCTGTTGCTGTTCCAGGTTGGTGGCTCTGGGGTCCCACAGATTTAGGTGGGACCCTGTAGATCTCCTTCTTTCCCCAGGACCCAACTGCCAGATCAACGTCAACGAATGCGCTTCCAACCCTTGCCTGAACCAGGGAACGTGCATTGATGACATTGCTCGCTACCAGTGCAACTGCCTCCCACCCTATACTGGTGAGAGAACAAACTCTCCGGTAGGCGCTTCCTTCAGAGATCACTGCGGCCTTGTTGTCCCAGAATAGCTGGGGACAGGACCGGAAGGACAAACGTCACACGCTTCTGGTTTCTCTTGCGTTTCTGGACAGGGAGGCAATTGACCTCGTGGTTTTCACCTAAAGCCTGCTGGCCCTCTCACTGGCCCTCCTGGATCTCCACTTCCAAAGATGGAGCTCCTGGCCACCAAACGTTGCCCATCCCCGATCCAAAGCAACCATGTCCAGCTGAGGGAACTCTAGTGGAAGTGTCACTCCAGCCTTTGTCCATACTGGAGGGGGGTTTAGTCCACTTCTCTGAGGAGCCCCAAAATGTCCAAACCTGGAGGGCGGTTGCCAAATTGCCTTCCCCAAATACCTATCCCCCCGGCCGTTCCGTTGCTCTCTGCATCTGACAGCACGCTATCCATTCTTCCCTGATAATGAGGCGTGATCGGAAAGATTTAAGATGCGAAAATAAGGGCTGAATAACTCAGTTGTTTTAGCCCCTCCAAAAGTTGGGAAGGAAAGTCATGGGATTTGCCAAACAAAATTTGCTTCTTCCCCTAAATTCTCACGCATGGTTTTCTCACTTGCCCCACCTTAGATTTTCACACGTGCAAACTTCTCCCGCCACTGCATGGTCCTTTCGGGCGAGGGTTGTTTTTCTGTCTTTGCAAACGTCGCCCCGTTGGCGTCCCTTCTGGAAAAACGTACGGCGCATCACCAGCTCAGGAGGACGGCATTTTTGCCGAGTAGGCGTTTCTGCCTCTCTGCTCATTTCCTGCTTCCTCTTGCTGCACAAAATGGCAACCTTTGCACAATTGGAGGAAGTAATGACTTTCCTGCCTTTGCTGGTTGCTGGGGAAACAACCCAGGAGATTTTGGGGGTGGGAGGGTGAGCAAGTAGAAGGTCCTGGAAAACAGAGAAAGGCCGCTAGATGCAACTGGCTGACGGAGAAGGCCATGTTATGGAGGGAAGGAGGGCGTTAGTAAACAGGAAAGGAGGGCTGGATAAGAGGCTTTCAAAGAAAACATGCTTTTTCCTCCATTGTGGTTCAGGTCAGGGTAACCAAGCACCCCCAGGTGAATTTTGAGAGTGCTGTTTGGACAACTCCCATTCCCCAAATGTCCCCCTGCATGGACGAATTCCTTCCCCAAGGAGAAAATATCTTGGAGAAACTCCAGAGCAGCCAGGCTGTTCTCAGAGGGATGTGGGGACAGCCCCGTGCTATTCATAGCCCATTGTGAAATCTGTGGGAATGTCAGTCAGCCCTGCCGTCTGTCCTCAAAGATCGGGAGGAAAGATCTCAGCTGCGCACGCTCGTGCCTGAGATCCAGCCAGAGGCGTCTCGGGTAGCGGGATGAAGAGGAAACGGCCTCCACACCGTGTCAGGCGGGCAACGAGGCTGCAGCCAACCCAAGTTTTCTTTCCAACCGTAGGTCCCACATGCCGGGATGTGCTGGCGCCCTGCGCGGACGGTCCCTGCAAGAATGGCGGCAAGTGCCGAGAGTCGGAGGACTACGAGAGTTTCTCATGCACCTGCCTTCCGGGGTGGCAAGGTACAAGGGGGCCTTGTGGCTTTCTGACACCCCCTCGGTGGGGCTTATGACTCCTGTTAGCCTGGCAGAGCTCAGTCAGCCAAGGCAAACGCATGAAGAAGATGCTGGGGGAAAGGGAGTAACATCACAGGGGTCGTAGGCTTGACTGCACCTTGGTGGATGCAAACCTGTGAAGAGCAAAGCATTTTTTGTAGATCGAATTTCGGTTTTCCTCCAGCACAAGCTTCTGAATTGCATATCCCTGCACTGGGCACCTGCAGGCGGGCAGACTTCAGCTCCCAGAATTCTCACCGGGTGGCTACACCGCCTGGGGCATTCTGGGCATTGATGTCCACCCAACTGGAAGGCTTCTGCGTTTGAGCTAATGAATGGGGTTAAATAATTGTAGACGTAGACATTTCCAACAAAGCATAACATTTCCTTTCCAGATGGATCCTCACAGTGAATGTTAAATGATTTTTACAGTACGTGTGGAAGTGCCTTTGGGTCCCCAGCACAATACTTTATACCTCCCTCTGCTGCGCTTTCTTTCCGGTTTGCACGTAAACTGAGACTGCAGGTCTAAACCATTAGCTGATGCTTAATGAAGCATCTCTCAATCCTAATTAGTCTTAACGAGCTGGCTAATTAAGAACCTCAGAAGAGCCCTGCTGGATCATGGTCGTGTGGTGACCATCCAGAAGTTCTCAGACATGGAGAAGAGAGCCTCTTCCACTTCGGTGTTTAAGGGAGCCTACCTGGGATATGCAAACTAGGAACGGTGGCCACCTCTGCTCCATAATCCTACTTCAGTTATCTCAGTAGGTGACCTCTGGCTGCAAACTCCACTGTTAAGTTAGTCAAGAGCTATTTTTATCCAATAAAGAGAATATCTGTAGCTCAGGGTTGAACTGTGGAGTCTTTGGTGCTCTCTGAGCTTGGTGGTTTGCTTGTAGACATTTCATTACCTGATTAGGTAATATCATCAGTGCACTGATGGTGTTACCTAGTCAGGTAATGAAACGTCTACAAGCAAACCACCAAGCTCAGAGAGCCCCAAGGACTCCGCAGCTATTTTTATACCTGCTTCTTTGTAAATGTGCATTTGCAAACTCTGGTTAAGGTTGGAAGCAAGATTAAGAGCAGGGGTTGGGGACGGAGTGTCGAATTTAGCTGCCTGTCTTCTTACTTGCCCCTGGAAGTCCAGGGCGGTGTTATTGCCCCGCAAGATGCAGGGATGGCTTTGATCTCCCCCCCCCCCCCCCCCCCCATCCAGGAGGTGCGGTTTTTATTTAGAGGCTTTAAAAGATGAAAGTATATCATCATGGCATTTGATGTCGTTTGCATGGCACAACGGCATGGTGATCCCAGTGATGTCAGGGTGCAGATAAATGACATCATTTGCATCTGTTTCTGTCATTTTGTCACAACGCAGTTGGCATAAATCCCCACGGATAACCATGAAGTTAATGCAGGCTTAACTGCCTTCTACTACTTCAGTTATGATGGACTTCAGGGACAGAAGTGAGGTGGTTTGTAACATCCAAAAGTTAGGGGGGTCCATTAAATTGAGGCTTCACTGCAACTCCTTCTGTAACTTCCATATAGAAGAATATACAGTATATGTGTATTCAGGCTGAACTAGTTTATCTTTATTCGTTATGGGAATTAAATTATTAATTATAGTCAGCCAGCCAAGGGCAAATGCATAAAGAGGATCTTAGGAGAAAGGGGGTAACATCACAGAGGCTGGTTTAATTCATTAATTAGGGCGAGCAGTTTGGCTGCATCTCAGTGGGTACGAAAGTCTAAAGAGCAAATCGTTTTGGTGATTTTGTTTCCGATGAACCCACTAGAATGAAAACTACCAGACTGTTGTAACAATTAGCGTGCGGCCCTGACTATCCAATTTTTAAGCTTGTCCCGAGAAATGGACAGCCTTTTTGGACATCTTTTCCCCACTGTTTGAAAGCCTCCTTGTTCATTCTGGTTTTTGCCTTTTAAGTGTATTATTTTTCACTGTTTCTTTGCTTTCTTTCCATAGTCTTGACCCTGAGTTCTTCCCTTGCTGTGTTTTCAGTCCTCGGACACATATATTACTGGGTTTTACTGCTGCACTTCCTGGTTGTTATGAATTAATTTAACGTCCTTTTGTGGAATTTTTATTCTGGTAATCCACATTGGATGTAAGTCATGGAAAGGAGAGATCTCAGGGTTTTCTAAATAGGTAAATGACACAGTGGGCTGCAAAAGAACAGGTGCGCCCTTCAGGAGCGACCCTCACCGAGTGACCTTAGAAGTACAGCAAGTCAAGAGAAGCATTGAGCGTTATTTGGAACTCTGTTTACAGCGTTTTCAATCATCCTCTCCGTTCACTTCTCAGGGCAAACTTGCGAGATCGACATCAACGAGTGTGTGAAGAGTCCGTGTCGGAATGGCGCCACGTGCCAGAACACCAACGGGAGCTACCGCTGCGTGTGCAGGCCGGGTTTCACGGGGGACAGCTGTGAAACGGACGTTGACGATTGTCAACCTAGTAAGGATCCAAGCTCACCCAGGGAAGGAGCTCCAGATTAGACCCCGGGCCTGAGTGGGGCCCAAGTGTTAACTGAGCTCTTGGCGGGCATCCCGGGCAGCAGACTTGGTGCCTTTCGAAACTGCTGTTTGCAGGGGGAAACCTGCCTCCCCCCAAGGGCACCTCTTGTCGTCTGGACCAACAGAGTAGGAACATATCTGCAGGTCGCCTCTTGGGAAAGCCTGCTCTCGGGGGTGTCGGAGGAGAAAAGGTGTTGCTGCCTTGGCAAAGCCCGGGGGCATCCCTTGCCAGGCCTCGCTGGCTTATTCCAGAGACATGCTTGGAAATTCTAGGAAGGCAGATTCCGGGCACGCTAGAGCCAGGGAGCCCAGAGGTGTGGGGTTCACTTTCCAGGGGTCTGTTGAAGCAAGGCATGGACAGCCATCTCTCGGGTACTCTGCACTGAGTGGGAGAGGGGCCCCAAGGGCCCCAAGGGCCCCTTTTCCTCTCCCTGGCGCTGTGAATGCATTACCAGCCTGCCTCCTCTCCCCTGCAGACCCCTGCCACAACGGGGGCTCCTGTTCCGACAGCATCAACGCCTTCTCCTGCAACTGCCTGGCGGGTTTCCAGGGCCCTGTGTGTCAGGAGGACATCGATGAGTGCGCCAGCAACCCCTGCAAGAACGGAGCCAACTGCACGGACTGTGTTAACAGCTACACCTGCACCTGCCCGTCAGGCTTCAGCGGGATCCACTGTGAGCACAACACTCCAGACTGCACGGAGAGGTAGGTTCATCCAGGACGGTGTTTCTCAAACCTGGCGACTTTAAGGTGCGTGGACTTCAACTCCCAGAATTCCCCAGCCAGCATGTCCACAGGTCTTAAAGTCGCCAAGTTTGAAAAACATTGATCTAGGACGTGCCAGATGGACTGAAACGGACCCTGTCTTACCCAGTCCGCACGTTTCGTCTAAGGTCCGGCATCTCTGCTTATGCAAGGGGTAAAGTGAGGTCAGGGGTGGGTGACCCTCTCTCTTCCTCGTGTCACTCAGCTCCTGCTTCAATGGGGCGACCTGCGTGGACGGCATCAACACCTTTACTTGTGTCTGCCCACCCGGCTTCACTGGCATTTACTGTGAACACGACATCAACGAGTGTGACTCCAGGCCCTGCTTGAATGGTGGAACGTGCCAGGACAGCTATGGGACTTACAAATGCACCTGCCCACAGGGGTACACTGGGCTCAATTGCCAGGTAAGGAGCAATTCCAGCCCAGTGCTCTGGGTGGAATATTCTCTCCAGATTTTCAAGGAGAGGAGGAGGACATACAGGTAGTCCTCATTTAGTGACCACAATGGGGACTGGCAATCTGACTTCAGCTTTGCTTTACAGACTTGCAAAGGTCATAAATGCAAGGACAGGTCATAAAGCTATTTTTCATCACCGTCGTAACTGCGAACAGTCCCTAAATGAGGCAGTTGCTAAACAAGGACTACCTGTAATGTCAGGCACTGGTGGGGAAGAACATGGCTTTAGGGATCAAGGCTGAAGTGGAAGGAAAGAGGCAGGGAAGCGCTTGCAAATACTTTGAACGGCAATGAGCCTGTTCACCATTTTGTATTTTTGGCTGGGTTTGTCCCTTGGGGATGCTGAGGAGGAAGGCTGTGGCCTTGCTTTACCTGCTGGTGTCTTGCTTTACTACCTGTCAGTTATTTCACTGGAGGCAGCCGAGGGACTCCTGCAAAGCTGGCATTCCAGGATAAATGTCCCACTTGCCTAAACTGAGATGTTCCTCTAGAGGGAAGTTCCACCTCTTCCTGGCTAGGTAGCATGTTTCAAAGGTTGTTGAGCATTGCAGAACATGGCAATGATTGATCAGAGTTTTGCACACAACTGACAGAATTGAGGCTGCCAGTGTGTCCAGTGGTGGATAACTGGCATTGTGCAACGGTTTTGAGGGTCCTGGCACAGCATCCTGCAGAAAGTATCTCCGGGATCCGCGCAAGGTGGTCCAGTCGTATTGGCTCAGACTAGGCACTTACGGAGTTGCAGGCAATGCGAAACAGAGCCCCGAAGTCATGGCCAAAGTGAGATTCAGAAGCAGAGCTCCCGCTCGCTGTCGCCATGCATCGCTTGGAGACTGTCCCCACTGGGGTCGCTCTCCAAGACTTCTTTCGGCTTCCGCTTAGCCTGCTGGGGCCTCTGCGCCCGCAGGACACCCCATTGCACGCGTCATCCTCTTCCCCACTTCTCTGCAGAACCTGGTGCGCTGGTGCGACTCCTCACCCTGTAAAAACGGAGGGACGTGCTGGCAAGTCAATAACCTCTACCGCTGCGAGTGCCCGAGCGGCTGGACTGGTCTGTACTGCGACGTACCAAACGTCTCTTGCGAGGTGGCTGCCCGGCGGCAAGGTGCGTCCCCTTCTGTTCAGCTTTCCGCCTCCGTGCTGGAGGACGGGGGACCTCCTTCCAGGGCCCTCAGTCTCCATCCAGGAGGAGCCTGGTCCATTCCAGGACCTGCCTTGAAGTCCATCAGACGGGAATCTTCCTGTCTCAGCCGTTGGGTGTGGGGGGCAAGGGCCAGAGGGAGGAGCTGTGCCAAGGCCGCCCCTCGCTTCTCAGCCTGAAGAGGACGGTGTTGCTTGTGCCCGAGACCAAGAAAGGGCAAGGAAAGAGGAAGGACTTGTCGGGCAAAAATACCATGCCACGGTTGTTTTGCTCCAAGTGCCCCTGTCAGGCCCGCTCCGCTCCATCCCGGCCTGCCACGCACGTCTGACAGCCTCCCTCTGTGGCTCTTGCAGGCCTTGATGTCACCCGCTTGTGCAGGAACTCCGGCCTCTGCATGGACAAGGGCAACACCCACTTCTGCCATTGCCAGCCTGGGTACACGGGCAGCTACTGCGAAGAGCAAGTGGATGAGTGCTCCCCAAATCCTTGCCAGAACGGGGCGACCTGCACGGACTATCTGGGAGGCTACTCCTGCGAGGTAGGCTTCCTGCCCAGAAAGGATGCGGGCTGGTGGGCTTCCACGGCTGCAGAGGACCCAGGGCCTCTTTCAGGAAGGCAGGATCCCCGTCCATAACTCAGCGCCGGATTGGGAAGGGTGCTTTGCCAGGGCACCGGGCCCTTCCTTTGTTTCCCAGCTAACGTTCAGAGGCAGATGCTCCCCAGCTCCCCCTCTGGCAGGGCAGCCCGGCTCTCTTGCACAGTTCAGAGGAATCTACGTTGCCCTTTTGCAGTGCGTGGCGGGCTACCACGGGCAAAACTGCTCGGAGGAGATAAAGGAGTGCCTTTCCCACCCCTGCCAAAATGGAGGAACTTGCATTGATCTGCTCAACACCTACAAATGCTCCTGCCCCCGAGGAACTCAGGGTAAGAGACCGAAGCTGGCCGGGCAGGAACAGCAGGGGATGGGCCACCAAGCAGAGACTTTTTTGACCCCGGCCCTGTGGAAAGCCCTGGCCCCTTCAGGGAGCCAGAAAGCGACTCGGTTCGGGTCAGGCCTCTGGGTTGCAGCATCTGGCTTTTTGCAGGTGGGGATGTGGGGGGCTGGAATGGAAGGTGGGGAGGCCCTGCCCCTGGGAGTTGGGGGGCAGAGCTCCCCGGTGTGGAGAGAGAAGTGAAGTCTGTCTCCCTCTGGTGGCGAAGGGCTGGCCACACACATTCCTTCGCTTCCCACCTCTGGGGCTCCAAAAACACCTAAATACCGTGGAGACAACACATTTTACGAGACTGGTGAGGTTTTAACCTGGACCAGAGTGGAATAATGTGATAGCAGGTAGGAGCACCTGGCTGACCTTAGCTGATCTCAAAAGATAGCAGGGGTGGACCTACCTTGTATTGGATGGGAGACTACCAGGAAATCTCAGGGACGTAGAAGAAGCAGCGGGAAGCCGCTTCTCTGTCGACACCGGAAAAATTGCCAGGCCAGCTTGAGCTCAAACAGGAGCGTGGGTAACGAGCTGCTCACAGCTGGTAGTTGCCCCTTTGCTCTTCCAAAATATGGAGGCTGCGTCTTGACTCTGCGGGGTGGCGTACAAGCCTTGCGATGACGCAATGCGTGAACGAACGGGATGGGCCTGCCCCGCTCAGTGAACCGACTGCTTCCCCCTCCACCTCCCCCAGGTGTGCACTGCGAGATCAACATTGACGACTGCAGCCCCTCCACGGACCCCAAGACCCTGGCCCCCAAGTGCTTCAACAACGGGAAGTGCAGCGACAAGGTGGGGGGCTACAGCTGCACCTGCCTGCCGGGCTTTGTCGGGGAGCGCTGCGAGGGGGACGTCAACGAGTGCCTCTCGAACCCATGCGACCTGCGCGGGACCCAGAACTGCGTGCAGAGAATCAATGACTACAAGTGCGAATGCCGCCCGGGTTACACTGGTGAGTGCCAGGGGAGATCTCGGGAGCCCGGAAGTGGGGTTGGACCGAAGGCCCGTCTCCGGGTCCTGCAGTGGCCAGTCAGAGGCATGGACAGGGGGGCAACATCCCCCCTCCCATGTTGCTCTCCAGGACTGCCTGCTGGGATTCCCCAAAAGCAAACAGCCCCAAAAGCAAACAGCCCC